CAAAATGTCTTCGAGGTAGCATTGTATTCTGATGGGCAGGGATCAGAGGTAAGTTGCCACAGCTGCCAACAACTTCGTCAAGGTCTATGGGGGGCAATGATAGGCCAAACAGCAGGACCTGTACTGGTAGTGGCACCCTGCGAAATAAAACCTCAGGAACCATCTGTGGGATGGATGGATGTTCACATGAAGATAGGCCTCCTTGATGTCTACAGATGTTAGTAGGTCTCCTTGTTGAATGCATCCCAGGATGGATTGTAGAGATTGCATTTTGAAGCATTTGTATGCCAAATGGATACTGAGCTTTTTCAAATCTAGAATCGTTCTCCACCCACCCACTCCCAAATTCTTCAGGACTAGGAATATAATTGAATAGAATCCCAGTCCCTCCTGCCCTGATGGAAACGTCTCAATGGCAAGGATGTCCAATAGGTGTTGGAGCTCGGTATCCATAAGACTCCTCTTGGCACTTGGGAACAGGGCACCTGACGAAATGTCTCCGAGGGCTGGTAAGAAATTTTAGCATGAGTCCTAGCCTCACTGTTTGCAACACCCATGCATCCCTGGTGATAGCCTCCCATTCGTTTGCGAATAATTTTAATCGACCACCAATAGGAAGGGTTACTAGAGAGTCATTTGGCCCTGCAAAAGCCTGGTGCCAGATCCTCAAAATGGCTGCTTGGTTTGAGGTTGCTGTCTACCTCTGTTGCGAAACCCAGACCTGTCCGTAACCTTTCATTCCCCTGGGAATAGTCCTGCTGATATTGGGGGGGCAATGAACCTGGGGTTCGTCGCATGAAAGAACTGCTGGTGAAAATAAGGCAGAGTCCTGTGGTCCATATGCTGATATAAATATGGCAGCACCTTCCTTTTGTCCCTACTCTCCACTAGAACGGGATCTAGTGACTCTCCAAAGAGATTACCTCCCCTAAAGGGAGCTGAGGCTAGGTGCCATTTGGAGTGCATGTCTGCCTTCCAATGGTGGAGCCAAAGAAGGTGTCAGGAAGTTACATTAGCCACCATAGCCCTGGAGGCAAACTTGGCTGCATTGAGGGTTGCGTCAGAAGAGAACTCCATGGCTGCCACCAATCTGTTTACATCTTGGTGCAGCCATGTGTCATCAGGTGGCAGTCTTCCCAGTAATTGGCGAAGCCGCACCAAGTAGCTGCCTGTATCGGCCATCTGATGCATTTTGTAGAGAGTCATCAATGCCTTTCAGTCCTCTGCCTTCAAGCCCTCCAAAAAATCTGAAGGAAGGATGGCGGAAGAGACTAGAGTGGCTATGAGAGCGTCTACCACTGGGACCTGCAGGAACTCTTCCAATTCAGGACCAGAGCTGTACATTCTCCGGTCATTGTTATTGGGTGCAGCCAAAGAACCAATGTTGGTTCCAATGTCACTCTATGACACCCATGAATAATTTGGGGGTTGGTATCACCTCCTGTTCAGGAACAGGCTCTGAGAAAAGCTGTTCAGTAGGATCCAGACCCAGGGAAGTCTCAGCCTCTGTCATGCCCATGTTGACTGATGTCTTGGCCTTGTAAAGAAGTGGCTTGAACAAGGCCGGCCGGAAAAGTCCTGAGAAGGCAGACTAGTCTGGGGCCAGGCCCTTGTCCTCTGAAAATTCCTAATCACCCAGTTCTTCCTCCCCCATGAATGAATCCTCTCTACGTGGAGAAAGAGGCCCTGTGTAGGTCCCAAATGTCCTTGGCCCACTGCCTGTAGGCTGTAAGGATGGGCCCTCCGTGGCAACTTTGCCTCTATCTCCTGTGATATAGTCTGAGATATCAGGGCACAAATATCTTGAGTGAGGCCTATCCCCTCGCAGGCCCCTGGGTATAGCCCCACAGACATTGGCGTTTAGGAGGCTTCCTGCACTGAGTGCATGGTCATAGAAGCAAGCTCCACACCCGCCCTGGCTAAGTGAGATGATGACTGCAGTAGATCTGTCCCCTGAGCGGAGTCCTGCTGCAGTGGTGGTGAAAGTGGCTTCAGGAGCCACGCGCCTAAGTCATAGGAGCAAGCCCAATCCTGTGGTCGTTAAGCAGGCCCAAGAGTTTAGATTTGGAATATAGCCTACTGCTTGATAACTTTGCAGCTCAGTGGTACCATCTGGCGACCAGTCCTGCCCTGCCTCAATGACTGGGGCTGTGGCTGAAGAGGAAAGGACTCCATCTCTGAAGTGGGTGGCTAACTGCTGGCCTCTCCCTGTCTTGTTGCTTTGGAGAATTGCTTCTTTGACGCCTTTTAGTGTCCCTGTCCGCAACTGCAGAAGCTGCTCTGGATGAATGTACTCTTGCCCTGCTCCTGTCTGTGGTCCTTCTAGTGGCTGCTCTGTCCACCCCAGGAGCAGGTACCCCAGGCAATTGCCTGGGAGAAGTTTCCTCTTGCATGCTGCTGTCTGATATGGAGTGATCAGCCATCCCTGCTGAAAGAAAACACCTTGATTGGTGCTGCTACTGCCAAACAGGCAGCTAGGAAGTTGTGGGAGATGGCGGCAATCCAGCACTCCCGGGAGGGCCTGCACACTTGCCCAAAATGGCACTGTTGCAGAAAAAGAGTGGAAAAAACCCTTTCGACGATCATTGATGTCACAGATGAAAACACAAGCCTCAGAGTGTAACCCGAGTGATTGGGCAGTGACTCTGGAATAGCCTTCGGCCAGTAGTCGGACTGCGGAGAGCGTGGCCACATGCAAATGGACCAACACACACACACTAATGGTCACATGGCAGGCAGCACACGTAGGATGCAGCAGGCCTTCACGACAGTGGATGGTCTTTTAAAATTGGTGCAAGAGAGGCGAACCGACTCTCCCAGCACCATAGAAAAGCCACAGTTGCCGGAGAACAGTCTGAGTGATTAGGTCGTAGATCCGGTGCTGCCAGGGTCCCGACTGGAAAAATGGTGGTTGCAGGCCTTATCAGAGTACTGGGAACCTGCACACCCATGAGCAACCGAATTTCTGGAGTCGCAGATGTGGGGACTCCTGCCTTCTCCTCTAGTGAGATGAAAATCCTCTTGTGATGTGAAGAATCTAAGTTGGGAATACTTTCTGCTCAGACTACTGTATTTTTGGAGTATAAGACACAGCAATGTTTTGAAGAGGCAAATTTAAAAAGAAAAAAGTTTTTGCACTCTGCAAACCTCCCAGGAATGGCCCATATTTCATGAAAACGGGCCCTTTAAAAAAAAAAGAGGGTATGAATAGCCCTTAGGCTTGTAGAGTGTTCAGGGGAGGGGGGGAGACGAGCAAACAATGGCCCTGTTTGGATTTCAACTTCCTCTCATTTCTGGAGACTAGCTTAAAGAACTGCCTTCTGAAGGTGTTCAGCTTCCCTGCATGTACAAAAGAGGACTTCTTCAGCAAGGTATAGAAATGGAGCCTGACCCATCCAAAGGAGTTCTCCTCCATGTCTGGAATGAAACCCCTCTGACAGGATGAGGAACTGACATTTTGGGGATTTGAGCTCCATTTCTACATACTATCAAAGTAGTGAAACTCCCATCAGGCAACAGTTCTTTCAGCCAGAGCCAAGACATAAGACAGTCCTCTTAGCAAGCTACAGCATGCAATCTTCTCTGCTGGCTTTCCCATTGGTTTCTGAGGAAGTTGGCAGAAAAGATTGCTAAACGGCGATCACATGATTGCAGGATGCTTGGCAAACTATCATAAGTGCATACAGCATCCAAGCATCCAGATTATAATTACATGACCTAGGGTAGCGATGGGGTTGCAACATTTTGCAATGACCAAAATGCTTTATGAGCTGTGAAGTATCCTTTCTGAGACTGTTGTAATTTTTTTTATTTTTTTATTTACAAACATGCAAAATACACACCCACAAAACTTAGACGTATACCACATTTACACAATATGACATGAACAGGAACTTCCTGTTCTTTCTAATAGCAATTGCCAATCAATACCATTCTCCTTATATTATTTCCCCTTCTAGTATATTTCATTTGCATTTCACCATTCTTAACCCTCTTATTTTACTCATCTGTCTGCTATATTGGCTGATTACCTCTAGTAAATTTAAACCTCTTGGNCCTAAACCTAACCCTAAACCTAACCCTAAACCTAACCCTTAACCTAACCCTAACCCTAACCCTAAACCTAACGCTAAACCTAATCCTAACCCTTAACCTAACCCTAACCCTAACCCTAACCCTATCCTTAACCCTTAACCTAACCCTAAACCTAACCCTAAACCTAACCGTTACCTTAACTTGAATCGGCTTGCTTTCAAAGCGCTATTTAAAGCACCCTTTTTTCTCCGCGGTCGCTGTTGTCGCCCTGCTGATGACGTCAGTGACGCGGTTTAATCGGGCGTGCTTTAGTGGAGCGCGATTTTGTCGTGCCACGCTTACAATGTAGATACTTATGGACTTAATTCCTTTATAATAGCTTATAACTCTACTTTTACAAGGTTTAAAGTACTTAAGCATAAGCATATTGTTGCTTTATTTATGCCTCCAAAGTGAATGGAAATTGAAATAAATAAAACTAGAATATAATTCATCCCCAGACAGTTCTCAAAATTGGATACAGAAAATAAACATGCTTTAATTCATCATACATCTACATTTGGGACTGAAAATGTACTATAGAATCAGTAGTTGGCTTTTCATGGCAAAAGAGAAAAAAGCTTAATGAAATTGTTCAACATTGTTTCTAATGTATAAAGGTATTCTTCTCAGGGAAAATGAATTTTATTAGGTTATTAGAATAATCTAACTAGAACTTTTCCATTAGAACTTTCCAATATTTCATATAGGCATTTTAATTTTAGATTTTACTTTCAACCACAAACTAGCAAATAGGATGGCATTGTTTTTTGACCTACAGTATATTAATATTGTCTTCAGGCACTATGTTAGGTCAACTGACTTCCCAAAAAACCTTTATACTATCTTGAGAATAAAATCTCATGAAATCATAATAATATATATTAAGTAATATTAATAGCCTTTAGGACAAGTATTAAACTCACCTTGCAGCAGGAATTCCTCTCTTGTTAAGATCCACTCTTACTTTTTCTCCTACATGTTTGTAAATCTCCATAAGTGCCACAATTGCAGCATCTCTCACCTGTGAACATGAAAGATGCTCATCAACAAATTTCAAAGATATTAAAATAAGCTGTCTTTGTAGTGCTCGACTTAAGAACCCAATTAATATTGATAAATTTAATATCCCAAATTTATATCACTCAGTGAGACATTAGTTAATTGAGTTTTGCCCAATTTACAACCTTTCTTGTCTCAGTTTGAAATGAATCATTGCAGTTGTTAAGTTAGTTATAAGATTATTAAGTGAATCTGGTTTCCTCGCTGATACTGCTTGTCAGGAGGTCGCAAAAGGTGAGTACATAACCTCAAGACATTACAATTATCATAAATATGAGTCAGTTGACAAGCATCTGAATCTTGATCATGTAACCATGAGGATGCTGCAACAATTGTAGTTATGAAAAATAGTCATAAGTCACTTTTTCAGTGGCATCGTAACTTCAAACCATCATTAAATGAACTGTTATAAGGTGAGGACTACCTATCTGCACTAGACAGATATGATTCCTCCATAAAAGTATATAGTGCAAAGAAAATAGTTACCTTTATTTGCTGAAAACATGCTTGATCAAATCATGCCGTATTTAAGTGTAATTATAATACCCACTGCATCTTATTTTACTTATATATCATATTTAAAACCTTTCAAATCTACCATGGATTTTTGGCAGTTTACACTATAAACTAGATGTACAGCAAAAGTATAAAATTTAAAAGATTCACTGTAAAAGACAAGTTATATTTAAAAACAACAATTTGTCCAATTCTGATAGGGCCATCAATCCACAGTGAATTCCATCCAAAGAAAATGACACCAATTACAAAATAATCCAAAATAAGAATGACAGTTCCAGTTCTCTTCACATATTCATGGTGATAATCCAATATGCCATAATCCTCAACTTGTGACTGATTACTTAGAAACTGAAATGCTGAAACCTGGAAGTCAATTTACCCAAGATACTAGCAAAACTATATTTGAGATGCCTCAGAGAAGAAAAAATACCTATTGCAGGGGAAATTGCTGAAGTGATTCTTACATACAAGAAAGAGCCCCAAGATGATTGAAAGAACTATCATCCAGTCTTTCAGTCTTTCAGTCATCCACACGGTTTTCATCAAGAAAATAGCAAAAATAATATTGAGAACATTAAGTAATACACAGTCAAAGGAGCAGGCAGGATTCAAAAGTGGTTACAGCACAATGGATCACATCCAGCAAGTCATTGAAAGGCAATGAGTACACCATGCCTCTGTGCATGGCTTTCAATGACTATGAAAAGGCATATATATGAAAAACACAATGGCAATAAGTTGTCTCAATTATCTTGGGAGGCGGCGCTGACGTCACGACGATACGACATGCGACTTTGAAGCTCCAAGATCACCGTCAATATCTCTGCTGCTGGACGGTCCTTTTGGACCTAAACTATCCTGTAGAGACGGTGATAGAGAAGTGCACATCCTGCTGATCCCGGGGACATTGTAAAGTCCCTGGTAGATCCAGGAGAAACCCTTTTTTTCCGGCGACTGAGAAGCAGCCATTAAAGCTGGTGAAAGTTGGGACAGCTCCAGAATGAAAGGAAAGCTGGAGAGAAAGTGTGTTGAATTGGTGAGATAATTTTTATTATTAGAGATTACCCTAAAAGATCAAAAATAAAGTTGAAATTGAAGACAGAAGAGGTCAAGCGGCGAGATTAAACCTGAATCAAATTTAGCGTGTTATTTTTCCTTAATCCTTTTATTGCTGGAATGTTTACAAATGCTTCTTTTTTTAAAAACTGGACTGTTTTTTTCTCTTTTTTTCTTTTTTTAATGCTTATTGTTTAAGACTTTCTTTTTCTTTTTTCAATACTCTGTTGCATTTTCTTTTTTTAAATGTTTCTTTCTTCCCCTTAAGTTTGGAACATAAAGAGGGAATTAAAAGTAGAGGAAAAGAAGTAGCACTGCCACTTAGAAGCTTGGAAACATTGTTTTTCTTTCTTTCTTGGAACATTTGATAATCTTGTACAAACTAAGAGCTGGTATTACATTTCAAGGACTCTGAGCTTGTTTATTGAAAATGATAGCAGGATGAGCACGGATTGTTTATACAGGTGCTCCTCTGGGGTACTATCAGTACTCCAGCTGGACTGGAGTGAAAAGAAAGTTTGGAGTTGAAAGGAAGAAGATTGCAGTGAACTTGTTTGGAACTTAATTAAAAAGTCTTGGATTCTATATAGTGGCAATATTTACTATCTGGAGGAAAAGATCAATACAGATGATGTTGCAGCACAAAAAAGAAAAGGAAGTGACATTGCAGATATTATGAAAGAAATTCAAAAAATAAAAGTGAGAACAGAGAACATTGAAAAGAGAACAGAATATTGAACAAAGAACAGGAAAAGCAGATGAAAAAATTGAGAATATTTACCAAATGATGATGAAATATGAGGATAGATTTCAAAAATTGAAGAAAAAGATGCAAAAAGAGATAAGAAAATTGGAGTTATTGNCTGTAAACCGCTTAGAGAGGCCTGAAAGGCCTATGAAGCGGTATATAAGTCTACTGCTATTGCTATTGCTATTGAGGAGACTGAAGACTTTGAATAAAAATACCATCCATAAGTCTTTCACTGACTGAGGATTTGAACCTGAGCCTTCTTGAGTCTAAATCCAAGTCATTAAATGCTATGTTACATAATTTTTAAAAAAATCACTTCTACCTCTACTTTTCTTCAGAAATTACAAGCAAAATAGAAGCATCAAGGAGTACAAATGATCATAAAATTAAATAACACATTTTCAAAACAGTCATAAATCTTTAAAATCAGAAAATTATCAATTTAAATTAATTAGTTAACAAAATTAACAACAAAAACTGTTGTTAATTAACAAAAACTGACCATAATCTCAAAAAATACTGTAAAACCTGTAAGGATTTAATTATACTAACATGCTATAATGGATTGCTATAATGGATTTCTATTTGACATCAATAAGTAAGAAAGAAGTTTTATATGACTCTTATAAAGACTTTCTTATTATAGATGCAGAAATACTAGCAATAAAGTTTACATGATGTATTTAAAAAGTACACATTTCTTCAACTATATTAATTAACATCTAATGTTTGTGACAAACAGTTAAGGTTATAAGAGACTCTAAACTCATTTTACATTTTCGTTTAGAATTGATGATCTTTTAATACCAAAATCACGTACTCACCACTGATACTGCTTGAAATCATACTGTCACTATTTTTTACTTCATCGAATTTCATAAATATTGTTTGCAATCTGAAAAATACAAACGAAGTAAGCATTTTGCACTTTTCCCTTCCAAATCCAAATTATTATTTTATATTATAATTTAAGTTAATGTCCACAACTTAAAATTTCATTTTCTATGTTCAAACACCAGGTTTTATAAAAGCCATTCTTACAAACAAAAAGAATTAAATGTAGTACAGTTTAACAAATTATAGTAAAGATAACCTAATCTATTTCTAAAGTAGAATTAAAACCAATTTCATATCAAGAATAATAGTGGACTTTCTTGAACAGAATGCCCACTTCTACAGCCTTACTGTAGGATTAAGGTCAAACCGGCTATTCCAGAGTATTAACTTTCTTCTGCTATAATAATTCTTTGATCATAGAAGTTGCGTGTTTTGCTGCATAAATTAACTTTCTCTTAAGCTTCACTTCATGGACAAATATCTTGACATTTTCTGGTAGAATTTGCCAGTACATTTTGGAATTCACTATTTATTAATGATAGTGTCATCCTGGATGAGCAGTAAATAAGTAGGCCCAAACCATGATATTGCCACCAAATGTTTCACAGATGGGGTAAGGTTCTTTTGGTGGAATACCATATTTGTCTTTTGTCAAACATTTTCATTTAAACAAAAAGTTCTATTTGATTCTAGTTTGGTCTCCTCCATCCACATAACATTGTTCAAATAGCCTTCTAGCTTATCCACATTTTACCAATTACAGATGGGCAGCAATGTTTCTTCAAGAACAGTAGCTTTTTAATTGCACCTCTGCCATATACACTATTATTGTCTGGTGTTCTCATAAACACTTACATTTAGCAAAATTTGGCAAATATACCATATTTTTATAAGATGCTCCGGACTATAAGATGCACCTAGCTTTTGAAGAGGAAAACAAGAAAAAAAAATCTGCCTCTGCCTACCAGCAATTTGCCTCCTTACAGCAAACAGCAAACAGTCTGGTCAGTTTCAGCACAGCCTGATTTAGCACGAGCAGCTGATTGGCACTTGGATCTGCCTCCCAGATTACAGCCTAACAGCTGTTCCAGGCTGCAGGGATCACCACCGCCCATTGGCACCTATCACTGCCTCTGCACACTCCATTTTTGCTTCTGCGTGTCCAATTTTTGGCCTGTACGTACTCCATTTTTGGCCTCCGTGCGTCCTGTTTTTGGCCTCCGCATGCCCCATTTTTGGCCTGTCCCAGGCAGCAGGAATTGCTGCCGCCACCTATTCTCGCCACCTGGAGCGGGTCAAAAATGGGATGCATGGAGGCGGTAATAGGTAGCAGTGGCAATGGATGGTGATGATGGTGGCAATCCCCCCAGCCTGGAACAGCGGTTCCACCACAAAACCGCGGTAGACTAAAGCGCGCTCGACGAAAGCGCGTACCTGACGTCATCACAGCGCGACGAAAACATCAC